CAAAAAAAAAAAAAAAAAAAAAAAAAAAAAAAGCAAACAGACACAAACAATGCAATGTGGCATATGCAATAATAGAAGCATGGGCTGGGGATTTAGCTCAGTGGTGCTGTGCCTGCCTACCAAGATCCCAGCACTGCAGAAAAAAAAGAAAAAGAAAAAAAGAAACACGGAAAGATGGCATGAGAAAACAGAGGAAGGGCACTTCACCCAGTGTGGGGGCTATGACATTTGTGAATCATCATCAATACTCATTGATTGCTTCTATGGGTCGGTCACTTTGTTAAGAGCCTTACATGCATTGTCATTTTGTCTTCACAAAAATCTTTTTTTGTTGGATGATGATGGTGGGGTGGTAGTGGGATTGAACCCAAGAATGCTTTACCACTGAGCTACATTTCCAGCCCTTTTAATTTTTTTTTGGTGGTGCCAGGGATCGAATTCAGGACCTTGCGCTTTTGAGACAGGCGCGGTGCCACTGAGCTAAATTCCCAGCCCCCCTAGCCCTTTTAATTTTGAGACAGGGTCTCACTAAATTGCCCAAGCTGGCCTTGACTTGCCATTCTCTTGCCTCAGCCTCCTGAGTAGCTATGCACTCTTATATTTTATCATCATTATTTGTCTATTTTCTCTCCCAATCTGCTAGTACCTTAAAGGCAGAAGCTATCTAATACAGCCTAGCTGTTAGCAAGTTGTCAGCAATGCATGATGAAGAAATCCATGTGTGGCCCACAGAATGATGGTGAATAATTCAAATTAGGTGCCAACGTTTATAATTGAGAGCATACACACTACAATCCATATTTCTGGCTCTTTTGGAAAATCAGAGTATCTACTGACCCTTAACCCATATTCCCACAAGGGAGGCCAACTGCAGCTGAACAGTGTCCACCTCTTTAGACAGGGAATATGCTCTCCAGTTTACGCAGCTCCCCTCCCCAGCTGCTGTTCTCTTTCTCACATTGACGGCAGACTTCAGTTGTCATATATCGTTGTACTTGAACTACTGTTTTCCTTTCTTTCTTCCTTCCTTCTTTTTCTCCCTCCCTCAGTACTGGGATTGAATCCAGAGCCTTCATACTGAGCTACATCCCCAGCTCTATTTATTTATTTAATTTATTTATGTATGTTTTGTTTTGGTACTGGGGATCAAACTCGGGTCCTTGCGCTCGCAAGGCAGGTGGCGGAACCACTGAGCTAAATCCCTGGTCCCTCTTTTTATTTCAAAACAAAGTCTTGCTAAGTCACTAAGGTGCCCAGGTTAGGCTTGAACGTGTGATCCTTTTGCCCCAGACACACAGCGTGCTGGGACTACAGGATCCTTGGGTGCCCACATATTGTTTTTCTTATAATAGAGTCACAGAGGAAAATTGTTTCCTAACTTCTTACACTACCTCCTGGGCAACTGAAGGCACCTAAATCTGTGAGGCCTGTCCTGGTCAGTAAAGAATAAAGCAGAGGGCTGGGGATTTAGCTGTGGTCCCGCCACCTGCCTCACAAGGGCAAGGTCCCAAGTTCAGTCCCCAGTACCAAAAAAACAAAAACATGCAAAGAATAAAGCAGAAAGAGTCGACTGGCACCTACAAAAGGCTGGTGGCACCCATGTCCCGGGCTGGGGTAATACAACCTTTCCCCATACTATAAACATTTTCTTTTTCTGCCCTTGCTTTCCACCAGGGCTGCGTAATCAACTTACTATGGCCCTGTGAAATGCTGCTTGCCTGAATTCAATGGAGCTCAACCCCTCTGAGCTGGATGGAGACACAGACCTTCCAGGACACTGCTCTGTTATCCTGAATTTCTGCCAGTGCTCTACCAACAAGAGCAGATCTGAGTTTTTTCAAAGGAACTGAGACTCCTTATTTCTCCTAACACTGCAAGGGCTGAGCCAGGCCTTTACACACAAGGAGTTTCACAAGTCCTAAAGGCTCTTTAGTCCTTCTTTTTTTGTGTGTGCCAGGGATCGAACTCAGGACCTTGAGCTTGCAAGGCACACATGGCGCCACTGAACTAAATCCCCAGCCCTTTAATCCTTCTTTTCTTTTCTTTTTTTTGGTACCAGGAATCAAACCTGGGACCTTGTGCTTGAGAGGCAGGTGGTGGAACCACTGAGCTAAATCCCCAGCCCCGTTTAGTTCTTTGAATCGCTATCCAAAAATATTAGATCAAACCACACAAAATCATTAATATTTGCCTACTATTTTCAACCCACAAAAAATGGCAACTTCATATACTTCAAACTGAGGTCTCAATAAGCTGCCATAGAAACAGTTTCAAGAATTCTCATTAAATCCTCTTTTGGGATAAGGATGCCAGAAACATGCAAACATTATTTGAGAAAGTGATTATCAGTAATACTTCAGAAAGGAAATGGAATTATATTAGAATTATATAATTATTATACTTTAGCAGGTAACTTTATTATTTATTTCTTTATTTTACGGTCCACACAAGTGTTTATTTGTCACGAGGAACTATTCCTTAGCCCACACACTGCTGTTTCACAGTTCAGGAACAGCAATAGACAAATATCCATGGAACTCAGTCCAAAGAAACCTTTTTATTTCTGTATCACTCTGCACTCTAAAAGATACCAGCCTTCTTAATTTCTTCATAATCTTTCATGGGATCATAATTTCTGGAGAAATCTGCATACGCCTTGTTAGGTCAGCCACACCAAACGTACAGAGAACTGCAACCCCCACAATGAACGCTCCCATAATATGAACCCGCAGAAGCTTGGCCAGAAGACCCTGCATCTGCAGTTTCATCACAGCAGGGGAACTCATGGTAGCCACTGTCCTCAATGCCAGCTTCCTTTACAGCTCACAGAGAAATAGCAGATAATTTTTTTAAAGAGGTAAAACATTTTAATTGGTTTACATTTCACTAACAAGCCCTTGCTTTTATTTATTTTTTTATAGTATTTTGTTCCCTCCCCCATTAATTTTAACAGTACATTTTGGGTACGCAACATGGTGACATTCATTATTGGGAGTTTGTACCTTTAATTTTAAATTTTTAGAGCTATTTAGAAGTTTAGTACAGCCCTCTCACTTTAGAGATAAGGAAACAGGCTCACAAAGATGAGGTCACGTTACTTCGTTCATGTTTTATTTATATGCCCCACTTAATTTAAAAAATGATTTAAGCTGGGCGTGGTGGTACACCCTGGAAGGCTGAGGCAGGAGAACTGTTCCAGCCTATCTGGGCAATTCAGGCCTTTAGTGAGTCCTGGGCTCAAAATCAAACATAAAAAAGGGGATGCTGGGGATGTAGCTCAGTGTAAAGATCCCTGGCTTAATCTTAGTACCATGAAAACAGAAAATCAAAACACACCCTCATAAATTACAGCAAATATGCCATATTACCAAAAGATAAAACTCTCAGTACTATGCAATTTCTCTGTAAATCTAAAATTGCTCTAAATATTAATTTTAAAGTGATTTGATGTTTTATGATTTTTAAAAATCCCCAATATGGTTGTAGCTCAGCAGTATAGTGCAGGCATAAAGCCTTGGGCTCAATCCCCAGCAACACACATGCACGCGCGCACGTGCACACACACGCACATTTGTGCCCATCCATAAATTTGAAATTCACTACAAGAAGAAAAGGTGGATCTGCTGGGTGCAGTGGCACACACCTGTAATACCAGCACTGGGGAGGCTGAGGCAGGAGGATCGAGTTCAAGACCAGCCTGGGATACATAGTGAGCTCCAGGTCAGTCTCAACTACATAGTGAGACCCTGTCTCAAACAAACAATAGAAGAAAAGTTGGAGACAGAGAAAAACTACATCAGGGAACTTTCTGAAATTGAGATTTAGTTCTGAATTTCCTCGAGACACAGCTTGGCACTCTTTTTTACCGAGTAGAGCAGGAAAAGATTCACCTCTTTTACACATTAATTTATCCCATAAACACTCAAGAATTCCAACTCAGTATCAGGAGTATGCCACACTGGTACAAGACCTACTTCCTCCTTTTCTAGGAATCAGACTGGGAAGGGCAGCAACCTTAATGAAGCCAATGAGCCCCTTGTGCCCTCAGAGTAAAAAGGAGCAGAAAAGTGACAAGAATAATGTATTTAGCTTTCCATAATATAAAATACTGCAAAAGTAATCCCAGCACTCTGGGAGGCTGAAGCTGGTGGATCACAAGTTTCAGCCCAATCTGGGTAACTCAGTGATTTAGCAAGACTGTCTCAAAACAAAAAATAAAAAAGGGCTAGGGATGTAGCTCAATGTGAAGGCCATTGGTTCAATCCCCAATAAACCCATCACAAAAACCTCCAAAAGAAGTATTTAAATAAAGTTTAAACCTGGCATGGTGGTGCACGCCTGTGATCACAGCACTCAAGAGGCTGAGGCAGGAGGAATTCTGGGAGCATTCCTCCCAAGGGCAGCCTCTGCTACACAGTGAGTTCAAGGCCAGTGTGAACTATATAAGCCTGAACCCTGTCTCAAAAATAAATACATACATACATACATACATACATAAAGTTTAAAAGAAGAGCAATTCCACCTAAATTTGGAATAGAGGCGTGAATGCTACAGCACTAAGACACTGATTGGTGTTAGAATACAAAAAGGAAAAATGCTTAAGAATGCAAACATTTTATTTCCTGAGCCAAGCCACTCTCTCATTGCTGTGTTGGCTTTAAGGTAGGCCCACAAACACTTTGATACTCCTTCCTTCAAGAGGTGTAGTCTAAACCAGCTCCATGGAATCTGTAATCTCAGCAGGCAGGGAAGCCGAGGGAGGAGGGTGTAGGTTCAAGCCCAACCTGGGCAACTTAGTGACTTACCAAAACCCTATCTCAAAATAAAAAGTAAAAGAGGGACTGGGGATATACCTCAGTGCAAAGGCCTTGCCTGGGTTTAACCTGGGTTTTAACTATGGGATGAGGAGACTCATTCTTTCCCCTTGAGTGTGGGATAGAATCAAGCAGAACTGACTTCTGAGACAAGTTCATAAGCAGTTCTATGGCTCCCTGCTTGCTTGCTCAGTCTCTTTCTCTCTGCCTCTCTGATCAATCTCTCTGGCAGAAGCCACCTGCTCTGTGCTGAGGACACGAAGGCATCCTATGAAGGGGTGCAGAGCTCAGGAATTGAGGGCAGCCTGACTGCAGCCTCATGAGAGATCCTAAGCCAGACAAGCTAGCTAATCCACTCCTGGATTTCTGATCCATGACAAATATGTAAGATAATAAATGATTTTTTCTAACTGCTAAATTTTGGGATTGTTTCTTGCATAGCAACAGATAACTTTTACATCTGATTACTATAAACACTTCCTAAGTAGTGGTATGCCTCTTACATTGTTTATTCTCAATAGAGTAGGCAGAGGACCCTCTAAATACATAAAACAGATGATGCCATTCAGAACCCTCTAGCCAAATCCTTATAATGGCCTACAGGGTCCTAATTATTTGATCCCAGATGCCAACCATTTTAATGCCACCTCCTATTCCTCTTCCCTTTGCTCACATCCCTCCAGCTACAGAGCCCTCTTTGCTGTGCAGGTGTAAAACACACTAGGCCTCCGTCAGTGTCAGGGTCTCTTCCCTCAGTTATCTTCATTACCTGCACCCTCACTAACCTCAACTCTGTTGAAGTGTCACCTTCTCAGTAAGCTGGTCCATAACCATCCATCTAAAATAACCAACATTCTACACAAACTGGCGTTTTTACTTAACTTGCTATCTGTCCCTAACTATTATGTGTAATAATCTACCAGATTGTAAATTCCACCAGTCCAAAAACATTGTTTTATGGAATGCTGTATTCCCAGCTCCTAAAACAATGCCTGGAATTTGACAGGTCCTCATTATTTAAGTGACTGAATGACTGATATAAGGACAGTAAGTAACATGATCCATATTATCACCAATAGTCCTACAAAATACTGACAGTTCTATGACCATTCAAAAAGAAAACAAAAACAGATCATGCTACAGCACTAAGACACTGACTGGTATTAAGTATAAGTTGGCACTTAGAGCACAAAAAGGAAAAATACTTGAGAATACAAATATCTTATTTCCTGAGCCAAGCCACTCTCTCCTACAGTACTTTACTCAAAATTACTTGCAATCTTCATTAAAAAACAACAAAACTTTATAGATAAGGTTATTGCCCCCATCTCACAAATTTAATTTTCTTAAAATTAAGAAAAGGAGGGCTGGAGATTTAGCTCTGTGGTTCTGGCACCTGCCTCGCAAGCACAAGGACCAGGGTTCGATCCCCAGTACCAAAAAACAAAACCATACACAAATAAGAAAAGGAAGGTACCCCAAAAGGCACATAACTGGTCAGTGGCAAAGCAGAGACTAAATACCCTGATTCCAAATTCTATGCTTTTCCCATTATATTAGCTGCTTCCACCACTCTGAAATCACAGCTCACTCCCAAAAGATTGTGAAATAGTGACCTCAAGGTCCACAGATTTTGTGGGGAAAAGAAGCAAAGAAAGGCAGAACGTTAAGTAACAGGATTTAGCAGTAGGACAGTCCCTGTTCTAGCCTTGATTTTGTCATGGACTCACTGTATCAATTTGGGAACATCAATTCTCAGTAAATTGTACCTCACAATCCTGGCCTCTAATTCATGGGGCTAATCAATTCGACAACCACTTACCAAATCCAAAGGCAATTTAGCCAGGTTATCACATGCCCTAGGGACAGTTTACATCTCCGCTTATTCATTAGTTATGCGACTCTGTCACAGTACTTTATCTGAGTGCCTCACAGTTTCATTTGTAAAATGTGAAGAGACAACCCATCTCAGAGAACACTGTAAATATTACAGACCTTTGCATGGATTCGTTTAGTGCTCCCTAACATTTCAGGACTATTCAGTAAATATTAGCTACCATTATTAGCAATGTGCTAGACCGTGAGATAGGATTTAAAAAGCAAGGCATTAAAGTCTAACAACCGAACTGTCGGTATGACAGAGGGGCAGGAAAAGTAGGTGGAAAGGACGCAAAAGCAGGGAAGTGAGGTTGGCTACGTCTGGGGAGGCGGTTTAGAAAGGTTTCCGAAGAGTGATTCGAGTTGGGTCCTTCAGCATTAGGGCTCCGAAGTGGGCGGCAAGACTGGGCCTTCGGACAGATCACGTGCAAAGCCACAGGCGCCCAGGGAAGTGCTAAGCTCCGGGCGCACTGCGTGAATGGGCTGCAGAGTGCAGCTCCGCCTGAGGACAGCCTGTGCTATCCGCTGGTGGACAGGAGGGTCGAGAAGTTCTCTTTTGCGCGGGCTGGAGCGCAGAGGGGTGGCGGCAGCAGAAAGCTGAGGCAGGCCGGCTGGGGCACTAGGACGCGTCCCAGTCAGTCAGCGGGCCTCGGGTTCCTCCCGGGAATCGAGAGGTCAGTGCCCAAACGGGATCCCCGGGGACGCCCCAGGCAGGCATGTCCCTGGGCCTCCGACCGTTAACTCGGGCACCTCCCGCCTACCCCTGAGCCCCACCTCACCGCGATCGGCTCCCGCGGATCCCTGGGGAGCTCCTCAACGTGGGGGCGACCGCAGCAGCTGTAAGGCCGGACCCCGGGCTGCAGACCGCTGCAAGGATGGCTCCCAGACCCCGCCCCCAAACTCCCGCCCTTTGGGGGCCCGCCCCGCCGGGTACTGCGCCTATAGGTGGACTGTGCCCGTGGAGGGCCTTCCTCCATGTTGGGTACTGGCAGCCGACTTACTCTAAGGGCCCAGAAGGGAAAGGAGGATTAAATTGAGATATCATATCCCGCGACAAAATGAAGACGTCCGTAGTCTCTGGATTCAAAACTGAAACGTTTTGGGAACAGGAAAAAACTTGCCCTCAGTCGTCACCCTTTCGTCTTCAGCGTTACATGTTGCGCATGCGCAAAGAAATAATCACCTGGTTCTAGATGCCCCTGCGCACTGCTGCACTCCCGAAGCCGATTACAACTACGTGAAATTTAAGGGAGCTCTATTAGATAAAACCTGAAGGCTAACAATTTTAGAGTTTTCTTACCTTCGGACCCTGTTGCTACTGGCAGCCTTCACGCAGCATAAACACAAGATAGTTACTTAATGCTTAATGCTTAATGTTGGAACACTCAGCACTTTGTTTCATGTACATAACCTCTGTTCATTGTTACCTTTGCCTGAATAACCTCAGCAACAAGGCCTGGTACCAAATAGATGCCCAGTAAATTTGAGTGAATTAATGGATGGGTGAAAGCATAGAAGGAGTGAAACAGTCAAGCCTTCAAGACTCAGTCCAAAGGGACCGTGAGAGATGAATACTTTGTTAGGAACTATAGCTTTCTCATGTGAAAACCAAAAAAGGTCTTAGTAGCTACTTTGAGAAAAAGAGAACACAAGTGGGAAATGGGGGCGGTAACTCATTCTGAAAAGTAAATTACATGATGCAAAGAATTAGCTGTGAGGGATGCATCTTAGAAAAATAAACCCACGATAAGACCTATTCAAGAATATTCCCTGCTACAGTATTTGAAATGAAGAAAAACAACCAAAATATTTCAATTCCAAACTCTTCTTTTGTTTTTTTGTTTTTGTTTTTTTGAGGGTCTCAGTATGTAGTTGAGACTGACCTGGAACTCACTATGTAGTTCATGCTGGTCTCGAACTCATAGTGATCCTCCTGCCTCAGCCTCCTGAGTGCTGGGATTATAGGCATGAGCCACAACGCCTGGCTTGTTTCTTTGTTTTTAAGACAGGATCTCACTATGTAGTTCAGGCTGTCCTTGAACAAGCTATGTAGCCCAGGCTGACCTTGAACTCATAGAGATTCTCCTGCCTCAGCCTCCCAAGGGCTGGGACTAGAGGCATGCACCACCACTCCCAGATTCAAATATTTATTAAACATCTCTTATGTTATATTGTTGGATAGTAACATTAGTTCAACAGCAAGTTGGAAATTGTGTTAAAATACAATAAAGTAGAGGGGTAACTTTAGTGGCCAACAAGGCTGGGATGAGAGAGGCGATGGATCTGTTGAAAGGAAACCAATCCCTAGGCCCCTTCAGGTTTCTTCCCTTATTCCTTAAATAGACTTCTGGAAATGTGCCTTTTACCTGAACCCACTTGGAGGGTTCTAATATGGATCCTAAACCCAGCTTTGCTCATTAGTTTATATTCCTCCCACATCATGCCAAAAGGTAGCCTAATTGTTTGCCTTTTTGTTGTTATTCTATTTTTGGTTTGCCTTTTTTTTATTGACTTTCTTTTTTAAAAATTATATACATGAAATTTCAAAGTGAAGTCCTAAAGTAGAACATTTTCCATAGTAGCCTAAAAAAGCTTCGAAGTTCTTAACTTCCTTCTCCATTGCAAGAATGCAGAGGGGTCAAGAGAGTGGAGGACACAGAATGTGGAGGCGATATTTCTGGCTGTGAGTCCCTACCTTCCTGTTGGAAGACTGACTGGCAACTGCCTTTAACTACTGGGGCCGGGTCACTGGGGGTGGGGGCCTCCATGAGGGTTTGGGGTGCTGAATCTCTCACGGTCACAGTCGGGGGACCTGGTGATTGGGACCGGCTGCCTGCCTGGGAAACCATCAACAAGATGCAAAACACCTGCTGACTGCTTTGTTGGCAGGCCCAGGAGAGCACATTTCTACTCTGTTCTACTCTGTTGGTGTCGGTCTACTGTCCCGGAGTTGTTCAGGGAGTGTTTTCTGGAGGGTGGATGTGGGCTGAATGAGAGAGTAAGCAAGCCTGCGTAGACCCATTACAAGTCCTGCTCAGCAGGGCTCCTGGAGGAGTAAGGGGAATAAGAAAGTAGGCAAATGGTCACTGGTCATAGCGATGTCTTTTGCTTAGGGAGCTATAAGAGAGGAGCCCAGCAGGGACCCTCTGAGAGCTACTAAAAGCATGTTTTTTTGATGATGGACAAAGATGTTGTTAGACATTTGTGAGAGCCAGAAAGCACAGAGCCAAGTGCAGTAGATTTTCCCTTTCTTCCTTGCCATGTCAACACCTGGCGTGACTGAAATGTGCTGGGGATGGCATAAGGAAAAATGAATTCAAAAACCCATCCTTTTCCCTCTGGCTTCAAACTAACCTTCTGAAGCAGAGCTGGGACTGCCAAGAAGTACAGTTTCTTTTAGTAGATTATAAGCCACTTGCTGCTGTCGACCTGTGTCTATCCATTCACCACTAGATACATATTGACTGAGCAATCATGTGCCAAATCCTGAGCCAGACGCTGGGAAGAACTCAAAGAACAATGATACATAGATCCTTTCTACAGCCTTAGTTCAGAAATTCACAAGAGAGGCAGGGGAGGAGACAAATATTTCACACACATACACTTTGTCCTGTAAAGAGAGAGGAGCTGGCTGCATGGGAGCAGACATTATACCTTGATTGTGAAGGATAAAGGTGTTGAGTGGACAAAGCAGGGGGGTATTCCAAGCAGAGTGTGTGCAAGGGCACAGTGGCAGCCAACGACATAGGATGCTTGGGAAATGCCAGAAATTGCCTATGGGATCTCTTCTTGCTAATTCCACCAGTTGCTTGGATTTTGTGATTCTCCTTGGACTAAATAGTTAGACAATAAGATCATCCCCTCTATTAGCTGAATATTTTCTCCTTGTTCCTGCCCCTGCCTTCAGTGGGCAGATTTCTTTCCAGTCCCAGTCCCTTCCCGCTGACCTAGGGAGGCTCTGAGTGACCACCAGCCTGATGCTTTTGAAGGAAGCAGTTTCTTTTCAGCACTTGGCCAATAAATGATGGTTGGTTACAGCTCTCACAGGACCAGGTCCCTTCCTCTTAAAAATGGGACCTTAGTTTTATTCAAACCTGAGAATTTAGCTGCTGCCTCATGTGACGAGCAACTATGTGCTGAGGTCCTGGACAGGAACCAAGAAGAGGAAGATGGCAGAAAGCAGGCTGGGCTTGTGTCAGACATACTCACCTGGGTTTGAACTCTGGGTTTAGCCTTGCGTTTTTTTTTTTTTTTTTTTTTTTTTTTTTTTTTTTTTTTGGTACCAGGGATCAAACTCCGGTCCTTGAGCCTGCAAGGCAGGTGGCAGAACCACTGAGCTAAATCCCCGGCCCTAGCCTTGTGTCCTTTAGCAAACCACTTCCCCTCTCTCGGTTTCCCATTCCTCAGTTGGAAAATAGGGGTAAAAATCCATATCTCCCAGGGTTCTTATATGCAGAATGGGAGATGGAATTAGATGGAGGAAGGAATGGAGGTTTCTGAGTCAAGGATGACAAGGTTTCCAGGTCCTTAACAGGGTTATCACTGGGGAGAGATTGGAGTGGGTAGGAAGAGTGTGATTTTTCTTTTTTAATTCTATAAATGTTGGTAAGAGAGAATAGGGAGGATGGGTACGATCAAAGCACATTTTATGCACGTATGAACATGAAAAATAAAACCCATTACTCTGTATAATTAGCATGTACTAATAACTATAATAATTAAAAGAATGTCAGTGAAAAATATGTGGCTATTTTGTTCACACACTCCCAGCTGCAACAGACAGAAACACACACACAATTTCCAGTCCCGATTTTAGTACTGTGCCATACTTGCAGCCTGGCAGAAGGGCCCACTCTTAGGCATTGCAGTTCCCAGGGAGTTCAGCAGGGGGAGTCACTGGAAACCTGCCTTGAGCAAGGGCTGCTCCTGAGGAGTTGGAAGACAGAAACCAGATGGCTGGAGTGAACAGAACCAGAGGTGTCTGCTCTTGGCAGGGCCCTGTAGGCTCCCCTGCGTGAGGACAGCCGAGGCACCACAGATTAAAAGCAGCACAGATGTAAGGTTAGGCACTCTGGGCTCAACTCTCAACCAGCCACTGCCTGTCGGCTGTTCACTCTTCCTTTGCTATGGGAAGAGCACTGGATTCACTCAGGTGCCTGGGTTCAGTCCTAGCTCTGTCCTTTCTACTTCTGTGACCTTGTGCCAGTCACTTAATTTCTCTGAGACTCAATTTTCCATTTATGAAATTATATTACTAATTCAATTTTCTGGTACCAGGGATTGAATAACAATGCAATTTTTAAAAAGGCTATGATATTTGGAGCACCTGCTATATGCTACTCATGGAGAGAAAGATGCTTTATACATGAAAATGTGTTTAGTTCTAACAACTGTTCAGTGAAGCGTGTATTTGTATTGTAATTTTTGGAGTAAAGAAACATTCATCCCAGGCACGGTGGTACACATCTCCAACACTCTGGGAGGCCGAGGAAAGAGGACAGCAAGTTTGAGTCCAGGCTGAACAATTTAGTGACTTAGGGAGACCCTGCCCAATTTAAAAATTTTAAAAGGTCTGGGGATGTAGCTGTAGCTCAGTGCGGAGGCCCTGGGTTCTATTCCCAGTACCACAAAATATATATAAATAAGATTCAGAGAAATTATTTTTTAAAGTGTAAATAATATCTGACATTTATGTAGTACTTATTGTGCATGAGGCACTGTTGTTTGCTTCTTTGGTGAGAGGTGGTCTTATCACGTAGCCCAGGCTGGCCTTGCACTAGAGATCCTCCTGCTTCAGCTCCCCTCTCTGCCCTACTACTGAGACTGCAGACAGACAGTCCTGCATGCCACGCTGTCATAAGAACCTTATTTACAACCACCCTACGAAGGAGGTTTTCATATTATTATTGAACTGAGTCACAGGGAGATTAAATCTCA